TTGGTCCTGAATTGTTTCACGCAAGCATGTAGTTAGAAAACTGATTCCATCTACTGTCTGGAGTCATCTATTTGGAAGCACCCAGTGCCGTGCAAGAGCGTCAATGTTCTCATTGACAACCTCGGGAATGGAGGCAAAGCGATGAATCAAGCCAGGACGAATTGTCTGAACCTGTCTACTAGCGTGATTTGTTTGTGCGGAGAGAGAGAGAGAAGTACGTGATTCACAGCAAGGTAATTACGTACCATTTCCATCCATCGCACTCCGCCGATCACTCATCGACATGTCTACAACCTCTTGTAGATGTCCTTGGTGTGGAGTAAGCCATGATTAAGCAATGGACTTTGGAAGCCGTGTGCAGGTGGCTTCGGCGATTAATGAGCCTCCTGTGTACTACTAACTAACGCGGCAAGAGGCCTCCTCGCTGTCAAGGCCATGCCAGAGTAAGAGCTGACTCCCCTCTGTCACCAACTGTGATCCTGAACCACGAAGCTGATCATGCAATCACTGAAATGTAGCCTAGGATATGTAGCTGTCGCAGCTCCCATCAGGGACTGTCTGTCGGTTGCAACGCAGTGAACTTGCGGTCTTCAGCTAGTCAAACTAGTGCTGCGGTGCTGGTTGTTTCGGCTCTGCTGAGCTGTGCTGAGCAAAGCCGAAACAACCAGCACAGTCCGTTGCTGATGCTTGGCCCGGAGAAGACTCGGAGCAGTCGCTTGCCATGCCTGCTCTCCCTCTTCCTATACCTCCTCTCAGGACACTGCTCTCCTTGGTTATCTACACTTGCTTACACTCCCGCTTCTGCTAGTATTCCTGCTTACACACGACCTCCTGATCATCAGTCGCCATCTACACTGCATTACTCGTCCTCAACGCCGTAGTCTCTCTTTTCGTACTTCAGCCATTCCACTATAAGTGGCAACTGGTAGTCTCTCGCAATGTTTCTGTCACGGGGTACACACGAGTTCCGCCAGCAAGTGTCGAATTCTTCAACACCTTGTCCACTTTCATGAACCGGGAATTCCTGCTACTGGTGGCTGTTGACGTTAATTTTCATCACGATGAATTTGTGGTGCCAGTTCCCTGAAAGTTTCACATTAGATGTGTGAGAATCGGTCGTGTCTCTTCCCAGCTTTACGTCAGTGGGAACAATCAAGGGTTTAGAGTTTGTCGAAGTCGAGTAGCATTTCCAAAGTTAACACCACCCTCATTCTGCACATTACCAGTAATATCTCAAACAGCCAATTTTACTTGTTTTACATGTAATGAAGTACTGGTTGGGTTGTTCATGAAGCGGGTTATAGTTCGCTGCCGTGAGACTCTTGGGGAAGGCATGCGATTGCTCATTCAGCTCATGTGGGCAACACTCTGCCATTGCACACAAGTGGAAGAAAAACTGCATAGAGTTAGTTCATTACTGAGTTGTAATCTAGAGGATGTGGGGTATTAGCTTCACCCCTAGATTACCATACAAAGATGAACTCCATGCCAACCCTTCCTAGGTAATGACATCAACATCGTCCACTTTAATCTAAACATTTTAAGTACTTAAGGATTTAAATGTGTTAGGATGGTGCAACGGTTTCTTTTATATTGTAACACATGAGCATTTGGACAAGATAAATGCTTCCTGTTTGTATCTTTCATTATTGTCTGGAATACTTACTCTAAGTATATAGTCTTGTGGAAAGTAATTTGGTGTAAAGAGTTTGCAAATGAACGAAGCAAATCTTAAGTGATGTTCATGGCATCAAATCATTGAAAAGAATACATTTTATAAAGCAGGTTATAATTGGTTTTCCTATGATTTTAATAAACCATTTAAAAGTGAATTGATAAGATATTGCAAATGGAGATTGATATTGGAATACTAAAATGCTATACACAAAGATATATAAGTAAATAATTTCTAATTATATTTTCATAATTTTAAAATATAATTATTTTTATAATAACATTTTAAAAATTAAATTTAAATTAACACCAGAAAGAAGATCTTGAATCAAAATTTAAATATGGATATTTAAAATCTTCATTAAATATTATTTCATAAAATAAAGGTATAATTCAACAAAAATAGTATTTAAATTATTTAAGGAATTCAAACAAAAAAAATATAAAATAATACTATTATAAAATAACTATTTTATAGAATCTTTTTAAATTCTTTAATTATTAAAATTGTTCAAATTCAAGGTCTAATAGAACAAAAATAATACATTTGTGCAACAATAGATTAGATTCAATGAGATTTTGTTTTAAAAATTGAAAAAATTAATATGGGTTAATTTTTTTTATTATGATTCTAATATACCTTAGAATACGTCTAATAAGTTGTGTATCAAGTTAACTGTAAGTAGAATAATATTTATATCTTGGCCATATTACTATTTTTAGTAGTAGTTTTTGATACAATCCAACTTAAATATTGTGGTGTCTAAATTAAAAGTTTAAATTATTTTAAAAGAATTTTTAGAAAATATATTGTACTTATGTGTGTGTGTGTATATATATATATATATATATAGATATGTAATACTTTTAAAACAAAAATTAATACTTTAAAAAGAGTAAAACACATTAATACTCATTTTTGAGAAAATTTTAATTACATTAAAGCTATAATAAAGTAATTTAAATATATTAATTTAAGATCTTTAAAAAATATTATTATTATTATTTATTATTTGATATTCTCTAATATAAAGTTTAAATCATCAACATTAGTAATATTAATATTATTTATTGATAGATTATAAGCTTAGTTACAAAAATATTTTTTAGATTGTAAACATCACAACATTCTCAAAAAATATAAAATAATATTCATGTGACATTTTATCAATCTATCCGTATCTTAATCTAGTATAAAATAAACCATATTAAGCAAACTACACCAAGTTCATCAAAACTAAAAATGCTCCCACTTACATTTATATTTTAGCTTAAAAAATACAGTGAATTATGCTAAAAAACTTACAATCAAGTTTATACTAGATTACATAAAATTATATTTAATATCATACAAAGAAATACTGTAAATAAAAAAAAAATCTCATTTTTATTTTTTATTTTTTTTTAATAAATAAAAAAATCTTAGCATAAGTCTACTTAGATACTTATGAAGTAACTTTTCTAGAAGTATTTCTAGCAAAGTTTTATTTAAATATTTTTAATTCTTTAAGACTTAATTTTTAATATAAAAAATATTAAAATTTACAATAATAATAATTTTTTTCACATAAATTCTTTATAATCTACTAATTAAATCTTAAAAAATATATATATATATATATATATATATATGAATCTTACATTAGAAAGATTTTTTAAACTCATGTAATTAATAAAATTTTGAATTAGTAGTATAATAATAGTATTGTATCATTTCATAATAATTATTATAATAGTAAATTTAATCTCAAATAAGCTAAGTCATGGTTTATTTATAATATTTGTAAAAAGTTAAAAGATTTTAAAAACATAAAAATAGAAGAGTTGTGATGCCACCAAATTAAATTAGGTCTCAACATAAAATAGAATTGTCATAAAACTTCAAAAAATAAAATTATTTTTTATATAGCCTATAATAAATTTAGAATTTGTATTAAGATGTTGGAATTATACAAAATATTGAATAAGAAGCAAAAAATTTAAATGTATATTGATTAGGTATTAATTTTTATACATGCATAACATTTGTAAAGTTGATGACATGCAATAATAGTACAAATTTGATCATAATGCTAGAAAAATAATTCAAAAAATATGCAAAATTATTAATGCCATATCTTCAATTAATTTTGCCACATCTTTCATGACTTCTTTGTAGATAACTAGCTAATAATTTGCCTCTTTTTTTTTTTTTTTGTGCATTTTTTTCGTTTCTTTTCTTTAAAAAAGGGTGGTGATTAAGAGGGAGACAATGAATATTGTATGGAAAAATAGATCATAAGCTATTTTTTAAAAAATAGAATGTTTGCCTAAAAAACTATCTAATTTAAATTTTTATTTATTTATTAAAAAAATAGTTGCTAAAAATATAAAAATATTTTTTCATTATTCTATTTTGGATCAATATTGGGATTTAATATTGGATTGCTAAATATACCCTAAGTGTATAAGCATATTTTTTAGTCAATTTAAGGTGTGTAGAGGTCACATGGGATGTGATAATATCAATTAGGGATGTAACCCTAACAAATTTTCAAATATATTGTATGCAAATAGTACTACATTGAATAGAATCCCTTACAACCAAATTTGTATTGACATCAATAGAGCTTGACATGTATCAACTCTTGTTACCATCACTGAATTTATACCACCTTTTTCCAGTTTTTAAGAAGTGGATGGCTTAAAATAGTATATACCGAGGAACAATATTTTAAACCAAATACTATTATTTATGCTGCATTTGTAAAATAAATAAATGAATGAATGGAGTCCTAACTTTCTTCAAATGGAATGCTCAGCGTTAAATTTGTTGTGCGCCTGCAATTGGAGCTTGTCTCAGGATAACAATTGGGGACATAAATCCCATCCGAAATGCAATGGAGTCGGCAACAGCAAGCAGCCTGAATTGCCAAATTTGTAGCTGCTGATCAAGCCCATGGACGCATTCTTTATGGATCCAGAAATGGCAAGTGCATCTGTTGGAGGCATGAGGAACAACGTGAATTTATTGATCTACGGAGATGATAATAAAATACATTTGGCATTGAAGCTGATGCTACTGATCCTATTGTAAGACAAGGTTAAGGAGCAGCACTTTGCACTCTAAAATTGGGGAGGGGGGGGGCTTGATGTTTAATTTTCTTAACCTCATGTTCCATATGAAGCACTATAAAGTGTGTTGTAAAGCTGTGTTCCTGTCAACATTGAAAACACTTGTGCTTAGTGGGTACCTTGGCCACCCAAGCACCCATCGTCCTTGAGCTACGGCATTTCAATTTTGAGAATGAATAAAAGCAAAGTGGGGAGAGAGAACACAAGGCGCATGCTGACAAAAGAAAACCAGCAAATCTTATTGAAGATTCAATTCATAAAATCGTATGGTTCGTATTAATTAATACGTTCTAAAAATAGCTCCCTTAAGCCTGATCGTATCAAAAAGAGGAAGAATTTTCGTGACTGCAGGATTTCCTCACTTTAGAGATCAAGGAGTTCCCAAGTGAAGAGAAAACTCTTTCTCATCACTCCCTGTGTATGTTGTGTACCCAGTTATATCCTACAAATATACACGGAACTTAGGAATCACATTTTGTTCTACCTCCTCATCCCACTATCCACAGGCAGCGGAGCGTACTCCAGACTGTCGTGAATGCGCTCGGTTTCTACTTTCATCCAAGTATTGAAAGACAGGCTCGGTGGCCGCTTTCTCTCACCTGAAGTTTCTTCCTTGGCCGATACCGCGTTGCGATGCTCCTTGATGGTCTTGATAATTGGACTAGTTTGACGGCGAAGGAAGGTGTTTGATAAGCAGCTCCGTCCTGCACTGACAACCTCAACAGGCTTCCTGAGAGGATAACTGTTTTCTCTCAGTCGCAGTCCTTTGTGCTGTGGGCACCGTCTATGACCTCCAAGGGAAGGGGCATTGCAAGGCAATCCATTGTTTGTAACAACATTACACCTAGGCACCTTAAGTGAACCACCTTGAGTGGTGCGCGTATTAACAGGACCTTGAGGTTGCATTGTCGTGAGGAAGCAGAGGTTTCCCATATTTCCCATGACGCTTTTGTTGGACTCCTGAGGCTTTCGCAAAGCCACCTTAATGCCTACCGCGTTGGGACCAAAACAGATCATCCCTCTTCTTCCAGAGAACACAGAATGGTTGCATAGGGAAGGATTGTTTGTTGGCCACGCCATGAAAAGCTTGGCAAGAATATCTCGGGAGCGGCGGGTGCCGTTAATGCCTTTGTTCCAAGCGTAGTCAAAAACTGCCAGAAGCTCAGATTCCACTTGCTCGGCTACCACCTTGCTGTCTGTCTGTGCAGGCATTCGCTCATTCACGAGACATGGGTCCAAGTAAATCCCTCTTGCAAGAAGATGGGCTAAAAACACTGATTAATTTGTTAATTACGATGTTGAACAGCAGAACTGAATGATTAGAGCGCACACGAGAACTTACATGTGCCCACCGAAAAGCAATGGAGCTGCCCAGGGCAAAGGCCTCCGAGAAAAGGCGCGGCCCTATCTCAGCAGCAACTTTCGCGGCATCTCCACCTCCATTCCATGTTCGGGGGGTGCTGCTCCCGCCAGAGACAGAGCCATCATCTCCTTGACACGATGTCGCAAATGATCTGCAGCAGCACACAACGCTCTTTGAGAAACCAGATCTGCATTCCTCGGTCAAGTTCATTGGATGAGTCAGGAGCTTGGCAGCAGCAGCAGCAGTGCCATGAATCACAAAAAGAAATCCATACCGTGAGCCTTCGAGATGTGCACCTGTCTGCCCATACTTGTGCAGACGTTGTCGGATGTTTACTGCTTGGCCAACATAGACAGCAATCACATCCTCTCTCCTCAAAGACCGCGGCCTCTTACTGTGCAGAGTTGGCACCCATGACGGAGCTGTCACTCCCAGCTCATAAACCCCCGGTCCCAAATTGAAGTCTGGAAGGTTTTGAACCTGACACCTCTCTATCCCGATCTTTCCTGTCGCATAATCGCTCCAATCTGAAGGACCTATTAGAATCTGCAGCAAGCGATGGCTATCAAATTGTGCGACACGGTTGCATTTAAACCATGGCTTCTAAACTTTCTTATCAAGAACATCAATTAACTTAAAGAGTGATGACTTTCATGGTGATAGCAATGCTACCTTCCATTTGGAGAAGAGCTTGTCATGTTTGACAAATTCGCAGTCCTCTCGCCTCAAACGTGCATTTGCACCCACCCATCCAATCCTCTGCTGCATCAGCAAGTCATCAGAGGTGCAGCCATTGAACATAAACCCCATTACTCGCAGAGTAGTTCTCCAGCTCTCTTATATCAAAGTTTCAATTCACATTCTAAACAATTGGTGAGGGGCAGGCAATGCAAGCCTTCCTGGGCACCTCCAAGCCACCCGGCACTCAAAGATTTTGTCTGCAGCTATCTTATCTCGCTCTTGTCACGAATAGAGTAGCTAAGTTCTTGAAAAATTCCTGCAACAAAAGCCCGTGGCTGTTGCCTTGCAGTGTCTCTGCATCTGCCTCTGAAAAGAATCTCCGAGTGTCAGCTCCTCTTAATGATCACTTTCCAATGAAGAATCCTCTTCATCAGATCTAGCCTCTTGACACTGCAGCATCCACACATACTCTTCAAAGCAGGTGCCAGTGGCGGTACCCACAAGCAAGAAATGCGAGAGAGAGAAGGCCCAGGAACTCGCCCGCGAGTCTCTTGCTCAATTGTGACAAAATTCCAGTCCCTACTTTCCCACCATTGCCGATACCACCAAGACCTGCGACGAGCCCTATCTTTCTTCACTGCAACAGAATCCTGCAAGTCTTCCACCGAGAAGATTGAGAAAACAGCTCACCAATCGGGGAACAATGGCGGTGTACTCTTGGCAATACTCGACACTGACATACCGGAAACTACCTGCCAAAGCACCAAATCATCCCCGTTCAGTAAACTGCACCCGAGCAAGTCCACAGCTGGAGTCTGGAGGGACGCTGTTGGAAACTACTCCTCACCCCCACAAGTGAATGATAGCACCTGCAACAAACACAATGGCCCGCTGGATGCGAAAACCAGAATGCAATCGTTTCTCTGTCTCTCTCTCTCCCGCATTTATGACCCTCCAGCAATCCTTAGCCATTATTAGCCATCATGGTGAGGAGCTCTTCCAAACAAGCCAAAGGGCAGGAGCCGACCTTGCAATGAATCAGGAAAAAGCACCAGGAAAGCAAAGGAAGAAACCAGGAAACATGAAAATTTACATACAAACAAAAAAAAACTAATCAGGTACAAGTTAGTCACCCCCCCCCCCCCTGCTTCTAAAATCTATTTCTGGCTTCTTTCTTCGCCGAACTATGCTTGGCTGCATTCCAATCTTCTCATGGGGTGGTGGCCTCCACTTCCTGTGTTCGCAAGGCGGCACCTTTATTGTTTTTTGGCATTTCTACGGGGCAATTTTTTTTCTTCTTCAATGGAGTTCGTTACATTGTCATCCAGCATTCGACGCTGATTGTCTCATTCTTTCTGTCTCTAGGTATAAAAGTATGCATTCACATAAAAACAGATGTCTATAGAGAGAAAATGCTATTCGTAGTGGTATCTCAAACCATTTCAGTTTCTGTGGGAAACTAGTGGTTTCTGTTTTCGTGGATGTTTTTGGATTTGCTGATTAGGAGAGTGTATTTTGGGATTGTGGCTGGGTCAATGAGACCCAGTCAAACAAATTTAAAAGCACCACACCATGGTTGTTGTTTTTGGGTGTGAGGTGGTTTGTGGGTCAGTGTAATACAACTCAAGTTGCTGTGTGGATTGGTTGAGGGTGTGTCCTAAAAGTTGGTTTAGGGTGGTCTAAAAGAATTTTTGGGGGAAACTTGTGGGGGCACGGGGACTATCTATAATCACCCACATCTTTCAAGTTGCTGTGTGTATTGGAGAAAGATGTGTGTGGATTGGTTTAGGATGGGTCAGTGTAATACAACTCAAGTTGCTGTGTGTATTGGAGAAAGATGTGGGTGATTATAGATAGTCCCCGTGCCCCCACAATGCTCCCCAAAATCCTCTCACAACTTTTGATAATAGCTATGCATGTTTGAATGTGTGAGTTGTACAAAAGAGGGGGGAAAGGAGAGGAAAAGATAAAAAATTAAAAATAAAAATTGAGTGTGCACAAAACAGTTGTTGATTTTGGAGACATACTCGTCAACTCGTCCAATTTTTTTCATAAAATCTTTCAATGTTTCATGATGTGAAGTCAAAAGAATTTGAGAGCTGAGTTTAGCCATTAAACTTTTGACCCATAACATGGTTTTTAGGTGAAAGGGTTTGGTGGGTAATGACAAGTTGACTTTTCAAAAGCTTGCTTCGGTATTGAGGAGAGAGGGGTTCAGGATTTTATAATTATGCCCCAAAATGTTAACTAGTTAAAGAAGCAACTCGTCTCATTCTAACTCCGAGCAGATTTCAAAGGTAACCACTTTAATGTACTTTTTAATAATTAGACCCTATTTTCCTAAAAATATATCCCCATGTAGAGGGAAAAGTGTTGTTAAAGTATGACCAACAAAAAAGGAGCACTAAAATTCTTCATAAATGATATGGTGACTGTTCGTGGAAGATGGTAACTGAGCCCATTTTTACTTTTTGCATGCATTTTCTTTTATTGTTATTTTTTAAATCGTAATAGTAGAGAAAGTGGGATCTAATTGTCTATTGTCACCTCTAGTGTATGCTAGCGCACATGAGAAAACTTTTATTGAATAACTGAAAAAAGAGCCACAGAATATTAAAAAACGTAACAGAAAATGATGAAAAAAGTTCCTTTGTTTTTTGTGATGGGAAAGTAGTTAAAAGAAGATTTGGGTTGTACTGATTTGGTGGATTTATTTCGGATTTTTAACTATTTTTGAGAATAATAATAGTTTGAGATTTCTTGGAATTTAAAGGACAAAATAACAGTTTTGTGTTTGTGTGTCTTTACATATATATATATATATATATATATATATATTATTATTAGAACCATTTTATGTGGGAATTATACAATATTATTTTAAAAATACCATGAATACAAAATAGTGAAACATGAATATATATATATATATATATATATATACACACATATACTTGGCTTTATAGTTTTCACTCTATACATTTCAAATATTTTTATGCATAGATTCAATAATTAAGTTAATTATGATTTTGATTAATTTTGTATGGTGCATTGATCACAATTAACTTAAATGAATACAATATATTATGCAAATTTCTCTGAAAATATTTAAAATATTTTTCTGAAATGATAAAAATCATAAAATATGTCAATCAATTAAAATGGAAAATCAAAACTTTTTTTTTTTTTTTTTTTTTTTTTTTTCCTTCATGACCAATGATATTGTGAATTATTAAAGATGTAACTTTGAGCACAACTGCATTTATACTCAACTTTTGAAATGTATGATATAGAGATTTAAAAGTTGCCAACAATAAGTCCATGAAAAAAAGTATAAAAAGTATAAAAACAAACAAACAAAAACAAAAAAAGAAAGAAAGAAGCATCTTTGTGCATCACAAAGCTATGGTTGCAGTCAAGCATCAACACAACCTTTGATCATGTAATAACACTACAGGATTTTTATTAAAAAATATGCAATAATAAAACTTAAGCATAAAAATAATACATTTTCATTACTTACAGTATTCTGAATAGGAAAGTCTCATGTTCAACCCACTATATCCTAAATGGCAGAGTTTAATCCATCACATTTAGTTGTGTATGAGTGATTTAATGGATGCATGAAATAAAGAAATAAACATTTGCATCACAATAAATAAATAAAATTTTGAATGAGCAATGATGCTTGAGATGTGACAGCAAGAGTTGCATTTCAATTTCAAAAATTACTCTATTTTGTTTATTACTCTTCTCTTCTGTATTATTGATAGCATTTCTATTAAAAGTATCAATTTGTGGATATGACACGTGCATAAATGCAGTAGAATGTTAGGGTAGGTATGTAGAAGAAATAGTTCTTGTATTAGGATTCATGTGTAATTCAATGAAGTATGCAACAATTCTGAACATAAATAAAATGATAAACAGAATACTTGAGAGTAAAGTTTTTAACTCTATTAATATGTCATTCTATTTCTTATCAATGTGCTATAACACTGCTGTTTCAATCACCTCTATGTCACATCATGGTAGAAATCCAGATTATTACCCAAGTTCATTATTAGCTAAATGACACATGTACACAATTTCCTCTGTAAATATTTTGCACAATTTTAGCCTCAATTCTTATTGTTTTGACACACCTAAAGTACATCTTTTCAGATAGCTAGGCAAACTACTTGAGCATATATATATATATATATATATATATTTTATATATTTTAAGAAAGAGTTTTTGTTTAAATTCTAAGTATCGTGAATTCACATATTTACTGATTGATGTTGAAACTAAAGAAATTTTCGAATCATGTTATATTATTAAGTTATTGTAATGTCAATACAACATCATCACTCATACACTTATGACAATAAATTAAAATTCGCACATAAATACGTGTGTATGTACATGTATTGAAAGTATATTTAAATCACTGAATTAAAATAATATTAAGAATAATAATAAAAAAACACCTATTGAAATTAGTGTTGTGTTGGGTTGTTAGGTATACCAAGCAGCCATGTCAGAATTATTATACAGTATTCATAGAGTATGATCAAAATGATACAGCGCTAGTATGAATACTAAATAAAGCAACCGTTATACTGTGAGCAAATGCATGGAAACGAAAGGGCAGCAGCAGCAGCAACAACAACATCAACAACAATAGTGGTGACGAATGTGAACAAGCAAAGCAAAGCAAGAAGGGTGAAAGGCTGTGAAGAAAACACAAAGAGATGGAAAGAATGTGGGAGCTCATGCAGCGATGCAGAATGCATGTGAAGGAAGATTTGAGCCTGAAAGATTGGCTTCGGTGCCTGCAGCTCTATTGCACTGATACGGTGATCTGATCGAAAGGACTGAAAAGGAATGGAAAGGGATGGAATGGAATGCTTGTGATGTGGTGGTGAAATCTAGATCTGTGAATGAGGGGATCAATCTGAGAACCGGATTAGAGTGCTGCACTGAGCTCGCTCTTTCACTCATCCATGACAATACTCTATATTGTTTCATCTGTTGCGAATTGATGAGTCCCACTCTTAATGCAGACAACAGAAAAGTCGGAAAACCGACACGACTGTGGATTTTATGTTGAGTTCAGTAGCTCGGCAAGATTTATCAGAAATTCCAACTAGCCGTGGGACGCAAGTCCAGCTTATTATCGCATGTAAACACAAGTTCGGTACGAGGTCACAGGTGACCAGCAAGAGAAAAAAGTGAACCGGCACCTGAGCCTCATGCCACCACTTTTGGCGTCCCCTGCGTGAAACATGAGCACTCCGCTGACAGTAACGCCATGCGTCCAAGGAAAATGTGAGAAAAGTCTCGACCGTGGATTGCTTTCTTTTAACACGCTGTGTGACCAGAAGTTCATTTTGTTTTTACATCCGAAGAGAGGATCTGACAGAGATATGACTGATTTGGGGTGCACCCAAATCACGCAACGTGAAGTGGCTGCTTGCCTCGCATCTGGTGTAGACTTATCTCCATGTTTCTGTTACAGCCGCAGCTGATCCACGCTTGTAGACATTGTCCAGGTGCGGTGGCATTTCCACATGCCTATTTCTCATGCCATGTTGCGTTTCCCTTCGTAATCCATCTTTGCGTCACTTATCCTTGCTAGAGTTGCACTTTTCTCCGGATTCATATGCTGTTGTTGACGTTTCCTTCACTACCTGCACTCTCATGTTGAAGCTTTTCTCTTTGCTTTTTTGACATGGTTGTGGTGGCAGAATAGAATAAGAATATTGCTTGTGGAAAGCAAGGATATGGAGATGAAAAGATGGAATGAATGTCATTGCAAGGATGATATAATGATGAGGTGATTTAGCAGGTCAAATGCCGTTGGGGTGGATCTTCTCTTAGAACAATATCATGGTAATTTTCCTTCTTCATTTTTGAACAGGTTTTGGGTAATTTTAACAAATTTTTTGTATTTATGTTTTTGGTTGCCTACCCTTGTCTATGCTTGCGAGCAAAACTCAGCCCTAGCTTAGGATCAAGTGCAATAGAAGCTAATTGGATTTAGACAAAGGCCAATAGGGAGAATTAGGGAGAAGCAATAAAGTACTATGAGGAGGGATTA